AAAGAAAGTCTAAAAAGAAAGGTCGATTGACAAAAAAGAAATAATTTACAAGATATGATCTATCTGAATCTAAAGTATCAATTCCAACAAACACATATTGGACTTCAAAAAAAAGAAAAATTTCTTTATTTCTAAATGGTTTGATATATGAAATGAATCTATTATTTTGATTTGTTACGTATTTTTTTATTTTATTGAATTGAGTTGTGTGGATTTCGATACGTATAAAAGATCACAAAAAGAGTTTCGTTTTATGGTTGTTCCGTATATGTCTCTTTGGTTCGAATGAGCGTTTTGAAGAAAGTTCAGTTAAGTTTAAGTTATGTTATAGAAAAAAGAGGATTCTTGAGTTTTTCCCTCCTGCTGAAAAAGCATTCATTCTTCAGTTCATTTTCATTTCTCAAAATACTTCAATTGGGACACGCAAGAAATATGCTAATTCAGCAGCTTTTTGCTCAATTTCTCGTGGAGTAAAATTCTCATCAGTACGAGTCAAGGGGATGGCCCCCTGGCCTCTGATGTCCATATAAAGGACACGACGAGCATAAATACCCTCTTTAACTTCTATTCTGACAGACTGAATATCTTTTATAAGGAATCGGAGGAAGATGCGACGATTTTTTCCAGGAAATCCCCAACGAAAAATACACACTATTCCTTCTTTTCTATCGAAGCGATCATAACCACTACCTACATTCCACGAAATTGTGCACCACAAATAGGAGCTAATAAAAAGACCGGCGATCCCATAGAAAGACATCACGATCCCTTGTGGAAAAAAAAGAATTTGCTGAGACGGAAATAAAGATATCAAATTTCTACCAAGATAACTAGAAGTTCCAACCAATAAGAATCCTAATGAACCTAAAAAAAGGATAATGGCCCACCAGAAATTACTTGCTTTTCGAGACCCCATTATAGGTTCTATCCATATATGTTCTGATCGCCAACTCATACTTGATCCAGTTGTATTTTATTGAAATTGAGAAAAGACCCCAAATGAATTTGACTTTACTCTTTTTGTTTCCGAAGTAACTCTCATCAACTAGCACTAGTTTGATGTGAACCTTTAGGAGTCATTCATCAAATTGGTTAGATCTAAAATCTAAAATAATAACAGACCTTTCATATGATCCTACTATAGATATCGACATACATCTAGATACGCTGACTTTACATTTCAGCCATCCGGCGATCCTGATCTATTTGAAAATAGCTAAAAGTCATTTACCCATATAGCATTTTCTGCAGGCATAAGAGCTTTTCTTTTATGTTCGGTTTTATGTTCGGTGGAAGCCACATGTTATATCATATTCCACGAAATAGATATCTGTGTTATGATACAAGTCTAAGTTTGAAAAAAAAAAAATGGATGAGATTGGATCCCATCGGATCTACACAATCTTGTTTTTTTGAACATGAAGAAATAAAGAAGCCATTGCAATTGCCGGAAATACTAGGCCTATTAAAGGCACAAAAATAGAGGGAAGGTTGAGAGTTATCATAGAATGGGTACCTCGATTTACTATTTTATTTTTACCTGTTTTTATTATTTAAAATGATAAAGATATCTTATAATAATTATAATTAAGAATTGGAATTCTTATTAATTCGTAGATATGGTAGAGAATTAATATCTATAGATAATGCTATAGATAATGAAAATCGAATTCAAAATGAAATTAGTATATATAAGTATATAGTGAGTATATATAATATATCTCTAACTTAGTATATATACTAAGCACAAGGAATGTCGAACTAAATAAATGGACCTATTCATGTTTTTTCTACATGAAAGATATGTATGATAATCGACTTTCATATTATTCTTCTTTTCTTCGTCTTTTGTTCTTGTCTTCTAATTTAATAAAGAAAAAGTTTCTTACAAATTATCGAAAGATTCGTTAGAATCCAATCCAACCGGGATTTCTAGTCAAAATGGGATTCTCGGAAGATATAGAAAGATGTAAAACTCTATTCTATATTTTCATTATATATACATATGTAAGACGGGAATAGGAAATTCGTTTTATTCGCCTAATTTCATGAAAAGAAAAATTCACTCTTTTATTTTGTTGATAGAGGGTTGTTGATTAGTAATCAACAATATAGGTAAAAAAAAAAAGAGTTATCCGAAACTTCTTTCTACAAGTAGATCTTATGTCACCAAATAAAACTCAATTCTTTTTATTTTTACTTGGATTCCTATAAACTAACTACTTGTTTGCTACAAATAAAATAATTGAACTTAATGTTCTACTTGATTGAATTTTGATTCAAAGGAAAGAAAGCGTGGAGCTGAAATAATTCACTTAGAACGCTTTTTAAAAGATTACGTGGTACGATTAGATCGAATAAGCCCTTCTGGAATAAATATTCAGCCGCTTGTGAACCTTCAGGTACTGTTTTATTTAATGTTTGTTCAATTACTCTTTTACCTGCAAATGCAATGTAGGCATTGGGTTCAGCAATAATGATATCCCCCAACATACCAAAA